CAACTTGCAGGAAAATTTTCGGCGAGGTAACGTGATGTAAAAACTTGCAGTATATATCCAACATTCACAGGATTTTTTCAGATTCCTGTGTGTCAACGCAGGAATTCGTAAATTTTTTTTCAGTGGGTAAGGGAATGTGATCAAGAAGTACAGATTTGATTTTAACAATTGATCGAATTAAAAAAGTCTTATTATACATATGAAGAACATTAGATAACAGCCCGTAACCAACCACGAATGAAACTTAGACATAGGACGACCAGATAATTTTGGTTTCTGCTTTAATGAAGGTGCGCGACATGTAAAAATGAAGGAAACCTTTTTTGCTTTTTTGTATCGATTGATACAGCTCGAGTTACATTGAAAAATTACCTTTTCTTTTGTTTGGCTCGAAAAATTTAGAAAAGATGAATTTACTAAAATGAGAAGGAGTGTTATGATCGACTTCCATCCACAACATTTTAAGACTTTTCACATAACGTAACCAGGATGGTATCAAATATTTTGTGCTTTTAAATTTCGAAATTCGAATGAGATACTCCTCAAACGAATCAATGTCTACGTTTTTCGGAAGTGTATACTAGAAGGTGCCCGTCTCATGTTATAATCCCGTATAGAAAACTGCACAGCTAAGTTCGCTGTAATGTGTCTATATTCTGTACTACGATTGAAGTTGTGCAATTCACTCGATGTTATCAGTAATACATTTTTTGATATGTTTTCTGTGTTCTGTTTTTGATATAAGCTTTATTTTGTACTGGCGGTTTCATCCGTTGCAAGAGTAATGAACATGATTTTTGCACTAGTTTCGATTGAACAGCATTAGAGTTGTAAACGGTCAAAGAAATCTGGACTGGATCTGCTGATCCAAAAAGGAGAAGAAAATAACATAATGATTTATTAAACGTTTGCGTTTATGCAATAGTAGTATACATTATCTTTATCTATAATGTATAGCCTTTATATGAATATCTAAAATGAATCTATAAATGATAAATAAAGTACCAAGTCATTTCAATCAAAAGACGTCTGCGTGTCGGTATCAAACCTCCCCATGTAGGATATGTTGGCTTTTTAATGACCAAAATATCGAAAAACTTGGTCCAAGCCAGATAATTATTTGCATTTCGCACTATTCATCACTACATGGTATACGAATTCGTAAAGTCGTAAGTTACACCTTATATATATAAACCCGTAGAGTCGTACACAGCTTATATATATAAAGTCGTAGAAAGCTTATCTGTATAGAATCGTGGAGTCGCGAAGGCGTAAAGTCGTAGGGTTCTAGATGACTTATAAATATAAAATTGAGCCATTAAACCGAGTACAAAGATTAGTTGCGAGAATCATTAGCCAAGACTTTAACTATGTTTATGACAATAGTGAGCTTGTATCCACCCTATTGCTTCCAAATCTTAGTGTACAGTTGGCAGTGTTTTCGACTGACGTCATCTTTTATATTTATTCATTTTCGACGTGCTATAGATTGTCAGCCAGTTCTTAGACTCGGTTGGAGCGGCTATTCTTATTTTATTCTCCAACGACTCCTAAAGCGCTCGTATAAAATTAACGTACGTACTTGTGTCTCAAATAGTGTAATAAAATCAAGATCAGAATGTGGCAAATGATAAAGTAGAAAACGTTATTTGATATCACTAGAGACGAAGAAAAAATGAATGCGAGAGTTGACATATTTACTGTGCTTTTGTCTGTTTTTCTAACAAACTGAGACGTTTCATCTACAACAAAGTACAGTTTCATTCTTGCATTTTGTAAGACACCGCGACTTCAAAAAGTCAGTACATTTTAGTTTTGGTTTTCTTATACATTATTCGAGAGAGAATCTTATGCTGATCAGAAATATCACATTTTTAGCCTTCTGAGTGCTCGTTTTCATGGAGAAAATTCGACATACTCTGAGGGTCTCAACATCGGGAAAAACCTTCGTGTTTCGAAAAAGTTGAATATTTTTTCTCCTTTGTATTTTGAAGCTTCCAAACATTTTTTTTCGAATTCAGCATTGAAAACTGAATTAGGAAATGTGTTTTGGAAGGTTTTCATATGTAATATAATTGAAATCTGCTGATAACTGTATTCGAGTAGGCTGTTACATTTCTGTAACTCATTCCAGTATACTGTATTTCTAAGTTTCCAATTTTCGAATTCATTCCAGTAGGTATCCGAGTTTTCTTTGTCATTAGCAATCAGTTCTATATTTACTCTATATTTATTACTTTAAAAAGCGCGCTTTGAACTCCCTAAATACTCGTACCGTATGCAAATTACTATCTTCATCAGACGATTTACAATTTCGAATTTTTCAAATGATAGTCTTAACCGAACCGATTACAAATGCAATGATATTCAATGATGGATATGCAAATAGCATTCAAAGTATTTTCAGACAAATGAATACAAACTTTCCCTATTTTCTTCAACTTTCAGAATTGTATTACTATAAATAAAGTGAGACAGAGGACTATACTGGAAACAGTTAAAGAAATTGTAACAGCCTACTCGAATACAGCTATCAGCAGATTTAATAGAAGAATTTGAGTGAACACAGTATTCATATGAAAAGTAAAGCATGAGTGACTGATGCCTCTGCTACGGTTTGACCATTTTGATCATTTATCATATCTATGTTAAAGAAAAAAAGTTTTTCCTTTTATACAATAATAAACTATAATCATTTACTCGTCGTTTAGTTTATCCGAGTCAGTTTGGGTGTTTGAGAAAAGAAAATACAAAAGACTAAAACTGAACCTCAAAAGTAATTAGATTTATAACTGATCACTGCATCTAGAAATACGAAGTACACCAAAGCAAATGATAGCAACGTCAAAGACGAACTTCGACTTCTTCATCTTCAGCCAGAAAGTGACTTTAGTACGCACATCTTATTTAAATCTTTGAAAATTGCATGTATCTCATATTGAATTTAGCCAACCACAAATCTGACTGCTTCCAAAGTACTGAATAAAAAATTGTACCAAAGAAACTTCGCGGACGAAACGCTACGCTGTAATAACCAACTATTGATCGTAATACAACATTGTAAGCAGCAATAAAGCTGAAAATGGTGCAGATGAATACCGACAAATCCTTTAGCTAAAACAATACGCTACGTCAGAGTTTAATTCGCCAGACTACATAGCTTAGCATATTTCTCATCATGAATAATTTTGTCTATTGCTGCAGCTATTGTATCAATAACAGCTATTGACACCGTCTACCCCCCTCCCCTCCCGTTGGAACCCTATCTCAGAAACTATAAGTCTGATCTTGACCAGGCTTTTAGATGCTGACCTTGTGAAAGTATGGTAACGAAATTTTTTGTTTGGCTCCATTGTGCATGGTTTGTAAGATGTTGCCACAAAAGTGACCAAAATGGGACAGTAAGTACCTCCGATTTCTCAGTAACGAAACGTTGTGGAGAGCTCGGGTTAATCTTAAATTGACGAAAGCATATGTGGCTAGAGGTGGATTTTTGATATTTTTCTTTTCAAATTAATGCGCAGCGTCAAAAGCCCGAAATTCGAAAAGTCTCATTAACTTTGGTAAAGATGTTTTTCTAATCACAAATCTGGACCGAATATCAGAAATCGGGCTCTGCCGGTCTCTAGCCACATGCGTCAGCTTCAGTTTAAGACCTTCTCGAGCTCTCTGCGATGTTTCGTTACCGAGAAATCTGGAACTACGAAATGGTGTTAAGATGATAGTCGCTTTCGAGATATGATGGCACCAGTATCTGATGCAAGTTTTAGGGGTTTCAGCAAAACTCTCAGAATCTTTGATACGAACATGTTTTGATGTTCCTATCAAGGGAACATCATTTAGAGCTGGAAAATATCGCATTTTGATCAGAAATATTTGTTCTATGTTCTTGAATACTAAAAGTCATTTTCGATCTGGTTTTTAATCGGAAAGTAAAACGTTTTCGAAAAGCCAGCTTGTCTTAATCTTTTGATGCAACTTTTAAAGCTTTTTAGTCGTATGCAGCATTTATACATACTCTTTTCCTATTTGAATAATCTACTTCATTATGCAGTGATTACTTTGCTTTTATTGTATCTTTGATAATAATTATTCAAAATATTTATCTGTTGATTTGGATACATATTGATATACCTCATAAATTTAGCAATCACTCGAGATACAAGTAAGATTTGAGTACTCAAAGTCTCAAATGATTACTAAATTTATGAGGTATATCAATATTTATCCAAATCAGCAGATAAATATTTTGAATAATTATTGCCAAATATATAGTGAAAGCAAAAGTTGTCCAAAGTAAAAGCAAAAGTGAGCAAAGTAATTTATAAAGTAAGAAATACATATTGTTTGAAGCAGAAAGAAGTGTTGAATTTCAAATGATTTTGGTATTAGTTTTGACGTTGATGTCACTATTGTGCCTCAATAGTGCTTCAGTTATTGAAGAATCATCAACGAAGAAAGAAGAAACTGGAGTCAACGTGGAAGCTATGTTAAAAGAGCAGAGAGCAAGCATTTCCTCCTCTAGGTTGTCAACACCTTATCCACGTGGCATGATTGTAATGATAGCTTCACTGGAAACAGACAACTGGTTTACAATACAAGGAAATGGTATTGGTGAATATACTGGCTGGTACATTTGTGATGGAAGGAATGGTACACCGGATTTACGTGGCAGATTTTTAGTAGGACGCGATGTTTTTTCTTCTGAGTCAGATTATAGTGACGTAGGAAAAATTGGTGGTACTTCACGTGTACAACTTAGTGAGAACCAGATGCCTAGTCATACCCACACTGATAAAGGTCATAGTCATACAATCAGTTTAAGTACCGGTGTTGCGGGCAGCCATGCGCATGACTATGATGACATATTCTTTAGCGAACATTATGGCAATTCGGCTAACTATGTCAGTGTACCAAGAAATTTAGGATCCAAGTCAAGTGATCACGATAATGTAGGACATCAAATGCGTAGAACAACGTATAGCGCAGGTAATCATCAACACAATATAGTTGGCAATACGCTGAATGGAGTGGCTTCTATTGCTGCATCAGGTGGGAATCAGTCACACGAAAACCGTCCACCATATTATGTCGTCATTTATATAGTTTATTTGGGTGTTTAACTTTTTCGTCGTTAATGTCGTTTTTCAGTTTTTAATATTTAATTATAAAAGTACGTTATTATTTTGCTCCATTTAACCATTTAAAATAAATTTTATTACTTGTATATTTTTCTCTAAATCCGTTATATGTGTACAGATTAAATTTAAAGAATTGGAGAAGAGACACTCTCGACAGAGATTATGGGCGAGAAATAATCAATAGAAGTGTACAAGTCAGACTTGTACATCAGATCAAAGGCATCATCTACGACCACAAACAACGCGCAATCAAACGAAGACGTGATGCGTAAGCAGCAGTACATGAAGTGGTTAAACGAAAAGTAACAGAAGTGTTAAGGGCCCCCTCTCAGAAATTATCTCCGACACCGTCCGGATCTTGACGAAACTTTCCATAAATGTTTGACTTAATGAGTTACGGGAATGAAAAAATGTCTTTGTTTCCAAGTCTTACCTTTCAGGAGTTTTCCAGTGATCAAGGTCCAAAAAGGATCCCGAAATGTGCCCCAAGATTTTTTAATATACTTCAAGCTGGAGAGTTCGGGTTTGTTTTGGTTTAAGATAGACACCTAACTACATGGTCTGACCGACGCCGATTTTTCAATTAAGCCATTATTTGTTTTCCAGACAAACAACAACCTCCAAAACTAGAAAAAGCCTTTCGAATTTTCTAAAAATCCTTTATTTGATAAAAACTAAGACCTAAGTCAAAAATCAGACCATGTAGTTTCTTTTCTTCTTTTAAACAAAAAAAGAATAACCTCTCTACGACAAACCGCTATTAAAAATCTTGGGAAATACTTCGGGTGTAACTCTTATATAGAGAAAACGCTTTATGAAATACTCAATTTTAGAACCTCTAGAAAAATGCCTGTAACTTTTTAATGCAAGGTCATACAGAGTTGTAAATCAAAACATTAACAATCTGTACAAGTCTCCTGGTTGTAGAAAACATTTCATACCACAAGGGATTACAAATCACGTAAAAGTATGTCCCAAGGCCAAAGGCTGGTGTACGAAAAACACCAAGTAAAGAAAGCAAAGCAGCTCAATGATTGTGAAACACCTACTGACAAATGAACCTGGAGTTAATGATGGGTACTATTTAAACTGGGTTTACCATAGGGTAGTCTCCGGATGCACCTGGGTTCCACGTAGTGGCGGCGCCAAGGGTGGGCTGGGGTGGGCTAAGCCCATCCTGGAATTGTTTGAGCCCACCCTGGAATTTTTTTTCAGATCTTAGAAAAAAATGATATTTTATTCGAGTGATGTCGCAACATACTACGGCTAGTTCACCATTAAGATCTTTTCT